AAGAACAGATGATGTCTTAGCCAAGCTGTGAGTAACAAGAAACTGAACCTCCTTCACTAGCTAGCTCAAGGAAAGGTGTGGCAGAGTAGAACGGGAGTGGTATATTGTTGTTGTTTAGTAACTAAGTCATGTCCGACTCTTTAGTGACTTCATGGACTATAGCCCACCAGTCTCCTCTGCCCATGGGATTTCCCAGGCAAGAATACTGGAATGGGTCACCATTTCCTTCTCCAGGGGATCCTCCTGACCCAGTAATCGAACCCACATCTCCTGCATTGGCAGGTGGATTCTTTACTGCTGAACCACCAGGGAAGCGCTGCCTATATTGTAGGAGGCTGAATAATGCCCCCCACCCCGTGCCAAATCTCCGAGTCCTGATCTCTGGAACCTGTGAATATGGAACCTTATGTGGCGAAAGGAACTCTGCAGATGTGATTAAGTTCGAGGTCTTGAGATGGAGAGCTTATTCTTAATGATCTGAGTGGCCCCAGCGTGATCACAAGAGTCCTTATAAGGGGGAGGGGCAAGAGAATTGAAGTTGACAAAGAAAACGTGACAAGAGGGGTTGCGGGTAGAGAGTTGTGGTTGTGAACCCAGGGATGGTCTAGAAGCTGGAAGAGGTGAGAACAGACTCTCTAGTGGAGACTCCAGAAGGGACCAGGCCAGCTGTCTCCTTGATCTGAATCCTGTAAGGATGATTTTAGGCATCTGACTTCTCAAAACTAAGAGAAAAAAAATGTTTGCGTTATTTTAAGTCACTAAGCTCTTGGTGGCTTATTACAGAAGCCACAGGGAGCCAGCATTTAACTTGCCTTTCGGGGTGCAGGCTCTACTCCACTTTTTTCGCAGTACATCTCTGACTGCCCCAGCCCCTTTCTGACCACCCCCGCACACACACACACACACACACACAACTGAGTGGACCAGGGTTGGACACAATCAGATTCTTCTCTTGGGATTTTAAATGTAAGATACAGAGGCTGCAGGCTCAACTACTCCACGAGGCACAGAGGGCCCAGGACCCACAGTTCTCTTAGGGGCCCGAAGAAGTCTATTGGCCCTGGGGTAGGCATCAGTTAACCGGATGGGAGGATGGTTCACTTTCAGGTCACACCCTTTCACTCTTGTGTTACTTTTGCTCAGTGAGCTCAGGCGCTGTGCGGCTGAAGTCTGGCTTTGCTGTTCCTTCCTGTGGCACGTTGAGGACTCTCTCACCATGGGTGCATGCAGCCAAACCCCACTGCGATGCCAGTACATGTCTGTGAAAGTCCTTCTCATTAAGAATTCGTGGATTGGGTTTCTGAAAAACATCTTTATAGTGTGCATCGTGGTCTACAACTGGTGAGTCAGGTGCAATGTGCCAGTCTGGGGACTCCCCCAACAGACCTTACCCTCCATCCTTCTGTCCTCCTGCTGCCCCTCCACAGCCCTCCTCTTCAGCTAGACTGGTCTGTGAGGACCCAGGCTTCTCTCATTTTTATTCTCTTCCATCTTCCCAGACTCTTCAGCTTTCTTCTCCCCCATCTCCGCCTATCCATCCTATAAGGCCCAGCTGAATCCCCCAGCTCTATCATGCCCCTGTTCACTCCAGGGACCAGTGGTTTTGCTCTCTTCAGAAGGCAGAGAATTGTAGCTTCTTAGAACTGAACAGTCATAGGGATTAGGGAGCCAGGGAGTTATCCCCCTGTTGTTGTTGTTGTTGCTGTTCAGTTGCTAAGTCATGTCTGACACTTTGCCACCCCATGGACTGTAGCATGCCAGGCTTTCCCGTCCTTCACTATCTCTGGGAGTTTGCTCAAATTCACCTCCATTGAGTCGGTGATGCTAACTAACCATCTCATCCTCTGCCGACTCCTGCTCCTTTTGCCTTCAATCTTTCCAGCGTCAAGGTCTTTTCCAATGAGTTGGCTCTTCGCATCAGATGGCCAAAGTACTGGAGCTTCAACTTCAGCATCAGTCCTTCCAGTGAATATTCAGGGTTGATTTCCATTAGGATTATTTGGTTTGATCTCTTTGCTGTCCAAGTTATCTCCCCATCCAGGGACTAAGTCCATTACCCAAAGAGGTGACATGGCTTGTCTGACTCACCAAGGAGATAGGGAGAGAGCTGCTGGGACAACTGTTAAAATGTTCTTTCCATATGCAGACTCTTTTGTTTCCTCTTTATTTTCTTTGATGTATCTCTGAAGCATTTTTGATTCTTTTTGAAAAACATTTATTTCTTTATTTGGCTACATCAGTTCTTGGTTGCAGCACATAGGAACTTCAATTTTTGTTGCGTTAGGACCTTTCAGTCACATTAAGATCTTTAGACCTTTTAGCTGTGGCATGTGGGATCTAGTTCCCTGACCAGGGACCAAACCGAGGCCCTTGCACTGGGAGTGTGGAGTCTTAAGACAGTGGACCATGATTACATAAAGACAAGTTTTCTGATTTCTGAGCGGGTTGGATTCCATTAAGGCTGATCTATACGACGTCATACATTTGGGGATGAATATGAGTGACTAAGGGCTTCCCAGGTGCCTCAGTGGTAAAGAACCTGCCTGCCAATGCAGGAGATGCAGGTTTGATCCCTGGGTCAGGAAGATCCCCTAGAGAAGGAAATGGCAACCCACTCCAGTATTCTTGCCTGGGAGTCCAATGGACAGAGGAGCTTGGTGGGCTACAGACCATGTGATCACAAAAGAGTGGACGTGACTGAGTGACTAACCAACAACAAGAAACTGAGCTTCCCAAATGGAGGGTTAAATGGACACTGTTATTCTGGGAGACTGCTGCAGTCTCCAACACAAAAGAACATTGCACATACCACATGCACATTGTGATGATAGGCTGAAATACACTGTTGAGTAAGCATTATCATATTTGTCTATGGAATTACACTGGATAGCTCTCTCATATATGCTCATCAGATCTCAAATTGGGCTCTCTGCAAACCTCATTTTGTGGATTTCCCTAGGGGGTCCAATGGTTAAGAATCCACCTGCCAATGCAGGGGACATAGGTTCAATCCTTGGTCTGGGAAGACTCCACACACCGTGGGGCAACTAAGCCGATGCACCACAACAAGAGAAGCCACTGTGATGAGAGGCCAGTGAGTAGCCCCCTGTCCTTCCCACCACAACTAGACGAGACACTCCCACAACAGCGAAGACCCAGCACAGCCAAAAATAAATTTAAAAAACCCAACGACAACCTCATTATGCACTTACTTCCCATTTACCCCTTCCGCCAGCCCCAGGGAGCCATCAATCTACTGTCTCGGTGGATTTACCTATTCTGGATGTTTCATATAAGTGGGGTCATACACTGCATGTTCTTTTGTGTCTGCCTTCTTTCACTTAGCACAAAGTTTTTTTGAGGTTCATCCACAGTACAGCATGTGCATCTTTTTATTCCTTTTCTTGAGTAGATAATTGTCCATCATCTTTTAATGCACATGTGGGTTATTTCCACATTTTGACTATTGTGAATAGTGCTGTCATGAATATGTGTGGACGGGTATTTGTTTAAGCAAATAATGTCGTTTTTAATTTCTTTAAACTTTATCTCATTCTGTGGCATGCTTTGCTTACTCAATGTTATGTTATTTCCACATTGATTCAAGCGGTTCTCCATTCACATTCAGTTTTACAGAACATTCCAGTGAATAAATCCAACAATTTATTCACCCACTCAGTGTTTGAGGATATTTCCATTATTTCCAGTTTTCCCTATTATAAATAATGCAGCTTTACAATTTCCCGTATATAACTTGTTGGGCACCATCTTTGAGGGTTCCTCTGGGGCATACACCTAAGAGTGATACTGTTGGGGCATGGGGAATACACCTCAGATGTACAGTACTTCATATTACCAAATGTGAGCTGTTTTTCCATGAGTCTCTTAGGGGTTTTCAACCCTGACTGTGCATTAGAATCAATTTTAGAAAAATATATAGGTACCTGGATAACTCCCAGACCTATTGAATCAGAGTTTCTAGGAATGAGACCAGGGAGCTGCAATTTTGAAAGCTCCCTAAGTAATTATACTGTACAGACAAGGTTGAGAACAGTTGGGACCAAGCCTTGGCCCATAGTATCTCGGTTTCCCAAGGTCAGCTCCTAGAGGACAGCTACTGACTGCCTAACAACATTCAGATATTAGAGGCTGAGCAGAGGGAAGAGACCAAATAGATACATGCCCAATGAGTAAACAAAGCATTTAAAACAAACTCAAAGGATTTCCCTAGTGGTCCAGTGGTTAAGACTCCACACTTCCACTGCAGGGGATGCATGTGTTTGATCCCTGGTCTGGGAACTAGGATCCCATATGATGCACGGGGCGGCAAAAAATAAATAAATAAATAAATAAAATAAATTCAATTATTCATGGCAATGGGAAACAGAAAATGGATAAATGGAGATGGAATCTACCATTTTTAGTTATTAATTCCACTTTTTCCCTCTCTTTCCCCCACCCTAATAATTTAGAGTCATATTCTGAAGAAAGTATTAATAGCTTGTGAATAGATCAGAAGGCAGGAAACCAGAGGCAAAGCCACATCAGGTATGAACAAATATAGCACATTGTTAAGAGGTCTTGCTCTGGGCTCTACAGTAGACCAGTCAAAGACCTCAGCTGGTGGACTGACCTGGGGTGGACTTTGCTCTTTGAGAAGGCAATCTATAAATTAAGGTCTATATTAGGTGATATTAGAGGCTGGTATTGGGGACAACAGTTTCCACATGGTGAAAGCTCACTATCAGCCAGATACAGTGCTAAGGAGTTTGCATGGGTATCTCAGTCCATCCTCAAAACAACCCCATGAGGTAGGCATGAATATTTTTCCCATTTTACAGGTAAGGAAAGTGAGTCACAGAGAAGGCAAATCACTTGCCCAAAGTCACCCAGCAAAGCTTGGATTTTAATGGAACTGGCTTTCAGTTTCTGCATCCAAAACCACGGCACTGTGTCTCCCTTGAGAAAACTGCTGATGCTTTTCTGTGTCTGCTGTTTAGCTTTGCTTTGGTGAGTGACAAGCGGTACCAGCGGAAAGAGCCTGTCATCAGTTCTGTGCACAGCAAGATAAAAGGGATAGCAGAGGTGAAAAGGGAGATTATGGAGAACGGGCAGAAGAAGGTTGTGTGGAATGTCTTTGACATGGCGGATTACACCTTCCCCTTGCAGGTGAGCACCTGTCAGCATCCTCCCAGGACTCATCCCTGGTGACTGTCCCCAGGGCCTCCTCCGCCTCCCCTGGGACCTAGAGACTCGCTCCAGAAAAACACTGGCCCCATTTAAAAAGCTCTGTGAAAATCCCAACTGAGAAAACCTAAAAATTGTGAAATTGGGTCAGATCCAGCAACTCAAAGGAAATGATACTTTGCTTTATGAAGTCCCACAGGGTTTCTCAAAATAGCAGTATGTCCTGGTGCATTGAAAACATGATTTGATTCACTCTAACTTGATTTATACATAGCTTTTCAGAATCAGGGCTATCAAGTCAGCAAGCTTTACCTAGATCCAGAAGGGCAAATAACTTTCTGCCTCGAAGGGACCAGCCCTTCTATATTGTTTGTGTGGCATTTTATCAACAAAAACGTCTCCAGGAAAACTCTTGGCTACAGTTTTGCACAAAGAAAGGCTATAGATGACAAAGAATGGAAGGGTGTGGACCACAGCGAAAGGGCATGAGATTGTCTCAATCTGCAAAAAGAGGAAATGAACATAGAATTCTCAAAAGGAAGAGATTGAAGTGGGGTTGAGAACACCAAAGAACAGATGGAGGGGGGTGGCGAGAGGGACAAAAGGGCCCATTGGCAGCCCCTAGAACCTGGAAAGCTTTGAAAAACGATAAAAGCCAAGCTGCTATCCATTTGTTTCTTTTTTTTTTTTTTTTAATGTGTTTTTCTTTTTTTTTTATTTTTTTTATTTTTTATTTATTTATTTTTTTTTTATCACAACTATCCATTTGTTTCTAACAGAGGGTCTTTAAAATCTCCGCCTATTGCCCAGGTGGTGGGATGCCCTATGACCCTTTCTTTAAAGTCCTGGATAATCTGAACAGCGTTCTGATAGAGGTAACACCCCCACCTCTGCTTCCCCACAACTTTTGATTTTCAACGTAATGGGACTACTGTGTCCCCCAAAATGAAAAGGCTGCTTTTGAGGCTGGAATGGAAAATGAGTGCTCAATCAATTTGAATGTTCCTCCGCTCTTCCTCAGCTTAGCGGGACGGCTCATCCAGCTTGGATATTAAGCGCTCTGGGTAGTCGATTTGCTTCCAGACCCGGATTTCCAGACTGAAGCTTAGGAGAGTAGAAAGGTTCGCCCCCGGGCACTTAGCCAGTTGGATTACTATGATTAAGCAGTTCTGTTCTCAAAGGGCTTGCCATTTTGCCTTCTCTCCTTTTTCTCCGCAGGGGAACTCCTTCTTTGTGATGACAAACTTTCTCAAGACAGAAGGCCAAGAGCAAGGGTTGTGTCCTGAGGTAAGGAGGGAGGGATGGGTGATAAGAGTTCCTGGAGGAGGCACAGGTCAGAGGAAATGGAAATTGGGACCAGGGGTGTTGTGAAGCCCACAAATATTGACTGAGCCTCTGCTTGTTACAGAGCAGGGATGTAGATCTGGGCTGGCTGGAAAGGGTGAGAAGACCCTGCATTTCTCGCTCTGTAACCACCAGATCTCTCTCGGTCGCCCTGGGTCTCCAGTATAGCCCTAGGAGCCTGTGCAGGCTCAAGGCCTGCTTTCTCCATTGCTTGCTCCAGGAGCAGCTTACGACAGCAGGGATCCTTGGCCTTTGCACAGTGTCTTGTGTTTCAGTGGAGCCTCACAACAACTTTAGGGGGGTAACAGCACTCCCAGCCTTATTTTACAGGTCAGCACAAAGATCAGGGAGGCTCAGTGACCTTCCCAATATCATACAGCTTGCTGGAGGCAGAGCCAGACTTAGAATCCGGCTGTCCTCATTCACAACTTCTCCCACTGTTCATTGTGAATTGCCTGCAGGGCCAGCCTGGGAAGATGTCAGACAGTGCAAGTATGATATTTCATTGCACTTCTTGAGTTTTAGGCTCTGTGTGAGGTGGGGAAGCCCCGATATCTCCCACCTTCACCACCACCATCCACTCACACTTTCCCCACCCTGCTTTGCCTTCTCTGTACTCTCTCTGAACCCTCTGCCTTCTTCTGGAAAACTTTCTTCCCTATAAAAACAAGTGTATCTTATTCTGTCCCATCCCAGGCTTATTCACTGCTCTGTAAAATGACAACTAGCTATTCTGATAAGTGTGTCTATAGTGATGTCTTACTAGGCAACACCCTCCTGCTGTTCCCCTCTCAAGTAAGACACCTGTGTTTTACCAGGGACTGTCCCAATGCTGAGAGGTGCAGGTGCAGCAGCCTGTGGGGAAGACCAGCCTTGCCTCTGGGTCTTGCTCGTTGGCCCTCTCTGGTGACAAGGCCTAGATTTCTGAGTGTCTGAGAACTCAGTGTGGATATGCTCTCTTGCATCACAGTCCTTGCCATCATTTCTACCTAAATTTGGAAATAAGCAAACATTCCCTTCAGGTCTATCTCAATAATGCTCCCCTAAAAAGAGACCTCTCTACGTTTATTTTGCCCCCATCTCTCCTTAAATGTCCCTGCTACTCTAATGAAGTAGCCAGGCGCCTGTCCAACTAAATATTCCCTTCTATCTCTCTACCCAGCAGCATCCGAAGTTGAAAGTTGAATCCAGTTTGGGCCTTTGGTTCCCTCTTGTCCCATACCCTGAAACTGCTACTCACACTCCTCCCCGCCCCCGTGGCACTTTTCACAGATACTTTTCAAGTTATTGAGATGTACAAGAAATAAATAAAGAGACTTGTAAAAGAAGTCAAGGAAGAGGGTCAGGATAGCGCAGAGATTAAGAGCCTGGGTTTTAGGAGCTAGACTGCAAATGGTTCAAAACTTGACTTATTACCTTTGTGACTCTGGGCAGATAACTTCACGGCTCTGTGCCTTGGTGTATTCATTTGCAAGATGGGGCTGATTGCAAAACCTAGCTCTTGGGATTATTGAAACAAATGAGCTAATCTCTGTGACAGGCTGGAAATAAGGCATGATACATTGTAAAAAGCACTAGAATGTGAGCTGTTATGACCCAAATGACAAGTTACTCCTTCTCAGACAGGATGTCACTCAGACTGAGCTCTGTGGAGGCAATGCCAGCCTGGAGAATACTATGTAACTCTTGGGATTTTAATCTGTGATCCGAACTGGTTTGGGTTGCTCTAATGGGAAATTTGCCTCCCCTCTTTGCATATTGACAACCACCCCTCTGCTGCCCCTGGCCCCGCAACTCTTACCAGAAGGTGGAAGTCAAGGATAGGGCTTGACATCTGTCTCCAGTAAATATGGCCAAGCCCGAGGTGTACACTGAAATGAAGAGACATTGGTCCTAATAATCTATTGCTGCATAACAAACTACCCTGAACCTGCTGGACTTAAAGCCATGAGCATTTCTTTTTTTAAGTTTTTTTTTTTTTTAATTGGACCATTTTTTAAAGTCTTTTCTGAATTTGTTACAATATTGCTTATGTTTTATGTTTTGTGTTTTTGGCAGTGAGACATGTGGGATTTTAGCTCCCTGACCAGGCACCGAGCCTGTACCCCTTGCATTAGAAGGTGAAGTCTCAACCACTCAACCATTAGGAAAGTCCCTAAAGCCATGAGCGTTTTAGGAACTCTCATAGTTAGTTCAGTGGTTGACAGAGCTCCGCTGGGCAGTTCTGCTGATCTTGGGATCTGTGTGGGGGCTCTCATGGCCTGGGCTTGGTTGGCCTTCTCTTCCTCTCTGGGGACCCTGAAGGCTTCTCCTCCTTTCAGGGTCTCTCCACGTAGTCTTTCCAAACTTCCTCACAACACCTCAGGATTCCTCAGACCAAAAGAACCTTCCAGGCCTCCCAGGCTCAGGACTAGAGCTGACGCAGCATTACTCCCACTGCCTTCTGTTGGTTATTCACTCAGAGTCAGATCTAGCTTCAAAGGGAAGGGAAGATGCTCTACCTCCCAATGGCAAGAGTGACAAAGAATTTGTGGCCATCGTTCATGCATGTGACAATCACAAAAGAGATGATTCGAATGTCTATTGTGTTTTCTTTTTTTTAATTTTGGAATTTCACCTTGAGAGTAAAATAGAGTCGGTTTATCTTCTTTACTGAGAGTTCTTTCCAGTCGATAATCAAAATAACATAACTTCCCAAGAGCCACAGTGAATGATCATTCATTCATTCATTCTTTCCATGTTTATCCAGACCCACTATGTGTCAGGCACTCAGACTACAAAGACACAACCCAGGCTTTGTGTTCAAAGGGTTCACAACATAGTCAGGGATCACAAGAGCAGCAAACCAAGGACCTGCTGGGTGATAGGAAGAAGGCAACTTGGGAAGAAAAGAGAACATGAAAGTGAAAGAGATTGAAAACTACAGGAAACATTCACTAAGCAAAAGCCACGTGCTAATCCCTTTCTTATCATGACTCAATTAACCTTCACAACAACCATACAAGACAAATCTGTCCATTCCCCTTTCACAGGTGCGGAAACTGAGCTGCAGAGAGGCAAAATAACTTGGCTAAGGCCACTCAGCTAGAAAATGGTGCAGGTATTGCCAAACCTGGTTGCACCTGTGTCTAAGACTGGGCCCTCCCCTGTATTTCTGTAACACTGCATGGAAGAGCCTATTTTCACAAAACTCCTGGTCTCCCTAAGACTGGCCATTAAACCTGGTCCTCAAAAATCGGGAAGTCAAGAATGCATAAATTAAGCCATCTCCCTATTCTTTTCCTCATTCTGCCCTCAGCCCTTAGTCTTGGAAGCTGACTGACCTCATTTTTCTCAGGCCAGGAGAGAGGGCTGGCTGGAGTCCTTGATTTCCACATTTCCTGCTGAGCCATTGCACCTGTCTGCTTCACTTGGTTCCTCAGCCACAAGGCTGCATGATCCATGCCCCCGCTCTCCAAACCAAGGGCTGTTCCATGAAAGTGGCCCCTGGCATATGCTTCTTAGACTTTTACTTACTTTTATATATTTATTAACTTAAAAAGTATTCATTTATTTGGCTGCATCAGGTCTTAGTTGCAGCATGCAGGATCTTCATTGCTGCATGTGAAATCTTTATATCAGCAAGAGGGATTTAGTTTCCTGACCAGGGATTGAACCCTGGCCTCCTGCATTGGGAGTGAGGAGTCTTAGCCACTTGACCACCAAGGAAGTCCCTATTTTTATTTTTTTATTGAGATATAAGTCATGTACCATAAAACACACCATTTTCAAGTGCTTAGCTCAGTGGTTTTTAGTATATTCACCGAATTGGGCAAACATCATCTCAGTCAGTTTCCAGAACATTTTCATCATTCCAAAAAGGAACATCATACCCATTAGCAGTCACTCTCAGTACCCTACTTCCCTCAGCTCCTGGCGACCACCGACCACCCTTCTGTCTATGGACTTGCCTGTTCAGAACATTTCATATACACAGAATCATATAAAACGTGGTCTTTCCTGTCTGGCTTCTTTTACTTAGCATCGTGTTTCAAGTTTCATCTACACTGTAGCATGTATCAGTACTTCATTCATTCCTTTTCATGGCCAAATAACATTCCATTGCATGAATGTCCTAGATTTTAGTTGTCCGTTCATCTATGGGTGGCTATTTTGGCTGTTTCGATTTTTGAACATTATCTTCACACAAATGTATGTGTGAACATAGACATCTGCTCTCCTATATCTTAGAGACACAATTTATTCCCCACTATTTTGTCCTTCTTTCTGCAGTATCCCACCCGCAGGACGCTCTGTTCCTCTGATCGGGGTTGTAAAAAGGGATGGCTGGGCCCGCTGAGCAAAGGTATGTTCTGTTTCTTTTTCTGAGACCCGTGGGGGGGTGGTCTGTAATCCTGGTGATGTTTGCGAAGCCCAGCTCTTTAGCCTCTGGCCCTCAGCTGCCTTTGTCCACCTTCCTCGGGCCATGGATGAGCCTGTGCCTGCCCCATGCCTCGACTCTGAACCCAGAGGACCAACTGCTGACTATGAATGTGACTCTAATTCCCAGTGAGGACAGCTCCTGAAAACCTCACGGAATTAGCCCCTTCAGGGTTCTCATTGATAGAAAATTTGAACGGCCCGTAGCATCATCTGAGTATTCTACACTTTTCCTCTTGAATTTCCCCGAAGGTTGAGAAGCATGAATGTGTACCTCCCCCCACCACAGGACCCCTGGGGGCAATATCAACCTGCAGAATTTCCAGAGATCTTGTTTTAGCTTAAAAAGGCACATGACATTAAAACAAATGTCGCATAAAAGAACAAGAAAAAGTAAAAATATCATGGTCTTGTTTTGTTTTTAAGTGGAGGAAAACTGCTTTACAATGTTGTTAGTTTCTGGCGTATGACAACTTGAATCAGACATAATATACATATATCCTCTCCCTCCTGAGCCTCTCTCCCCTCCCTCCTTTACATCCCTCTAGGTCATCACGGAGCACCAGCAACTTTTCATCAGCTTCCTATTTTATCCATGATAGTGTATATATCTCAATGCTACTTTCTCCACTCGCCCCACTCTCTCTTTAGCCCACTGTGTCCACAAGTTCATTTTCTACGTTTGCTTCTCCATTCCTTCCCTTCAGATAGGTTCACTGATATCATTTTTCTAGATTCCATATATGTGAGTTAATACATGATATTTGTTTTTCTCTCTCTGACTTACTTCACTCTGTACAACAGGCTCTAGATTCACCCACCTCACTAGACCTGACTCATTCGTTCTTTTATATGGCTGAGTAATATTCCATTGTATATATGTACTACATCTTTATCAATTCATCTGTAGATGGACATCTAGGTTGCTTCTATATCTTGGCTCTTCTAAACAGTGCTGCAATGAACATTGGGGTGCATGTGTCTTTTAGAACTGTGACTTTCTCAGGGTATACACCCTGTTCTGCCTCCCTCTCAGGCATCTTTTCTTGTGAAGAAACAAACAAGCAAGCAAAAATCCAACAGCATCTGTGGTCTTTATGTCTTCTCTTTGATCCTTCTTTGAAAAACTTACCGTTCGATGTGTTGCCTGCTTGGTTTTTCTTATGTAAGCCTGTGGTTTGGATGAGGTTACACAGAAACTAAAACTGCTTTGCCCAGTACTGGGATTGTGGGGTCATATGGTAGATTTATTCCTAGTTTTCTAAGGAATCTCACACTGTTCTCCATAATGGTCATATGTTTTCCATAATGGTTGTATCAGTTTACATTCCCACCAATAGTGTAGGAGGGTTCCCTTTTCTCCATATCCTCTCCAGCCATCAGTGTTTATAACATGTGCTAAGTCACTTTAGTTGTGTCCAACTCTTTGCAACCCTATGGACTGTAGCCTGCCAGGCTCCTCTGTCCATGGGGATTCTCCAGGCAAGAATACTGGAGTGGGTTGACATGCTCTCCTCCAGGGGGGTCTTCCCAACCCAGGGATCGAACCCATGTTTCTTATGTCTCCTGAATTGGCAGGCGGGTTCTTTACCACTAGCACCACCTAAAAAGCCAGTTTATAACACACATGTGCACAGAAAGGCATTTGAATATTCAATTCCATTCCATAAGGCTTGTGCATTTGAGTTGGAGAGGAGTTAACTATTTACTATTTAACTTTCCCCTCAAATATCTGTTAGTGGCACTGATACTCTAGGAAGATGTGCCATGCTTACTCCGTGGCCCTGTGCATCCTGGTCCATGCTGTACACACCTAGAGGAACTCAGATGCCTGTTTAGAAGCCATGTGCTAGTCCATTTATACCAGGCAAAAGAATACACCCTGTTCAGCCTCCCTCTCAGGCATCTTTTCTTGTGAAGAAACAAACAAGCAAGCAAAAATCCAACAGCATCTGTGGTCTTTATGTCTTCTCTTTGATCTTTCTTTGAAAAACTTACCGTTCGATGTGTTGCTTGCTTGGTTTTTCTTATGTAAGCCTGTGGTTTGGATGAGGTTACACAGAAACTAAAACTGCTTGGATTGAGAAACTTGCTTTGGTGGAGCAGAGTTTCCTCCCACAGTCCTTTCACACCTATGCTTCTACAACCCCTTGACCCTCCACAGGCATCCAGACCGGCAGGTGTATAGATTATAACGAGAAGCAGAAGACCTGTGAAGTCTTCGCCTGGTGTCCTGTCGAGGCAGCGAAAAAGGCTCCGGAGTGAGTTGTAGGGAGGGGACAGACACAGTGGCCCGCAGCATCCAGCAGATGAAGCTCTGCAAGGCACTGCTCCAGCCTCCCTCCCCAGCACCACCCTCCCTCCCCACGTCCCGGGTCTTAACTGGCGTAGTGACTCCCAGGCCAGACACACTAGCGGTCTCTGGGAGGACCTTGCTTGTGGTCAACATATTGACATAATTCTGGACCAGCTGGTAAATAGCTACTACCTTGAGCACCCTTGGGTGCCCCCTGCCCCTTGAGTGGTACTTTCCAGGGCACCTCCAGACACCACCTCCAGTGCTATAGCAGGGGCCATTCTGACCGTCAGTGTCTGTACTGAGTGACTAAGGAAGAGAAGGTGGGAGGGGAAATAGGAAAAAGGAAGAAGAAGGGAAGGGAGGAGAGAAGGAAGGGAAGGGAAAGGAAGTTCTCTTAAATGTTCACAGTGACATACACATTTGGTGCTCCCCTGTGTTGATTCTTCTCAAGGTCAGGGCCAGAAGAAAGAACTTGACGTTAAATCTCAGAAAACACTGGGAGGGCTGCATTTCAGCAGAGAATAAGGAGACCTGGATTCAAATCCGGGCTTTAATGCACCCTTGCTATGTGACCTTGAACAAGTGCCTTAACCCCTTTGGATTTCAGTTTCCTTGTCTTTAAAATGAGAATAACAGGACTTCCCCAGCAGGCCCAGTGATTCAGACTCTGCACTTCCAACGCAGGAGGCGCAGGTTCCATCCCTGGTTGGAGAACTAAGATCCCACAAGCAGCGTGGCCAAATTTTTTTTTTTTCAGTTAAAAATAAAATGAGGATAATAACTGCACCAACCTTGCTGGGCTGTTGTGAGAATTAAATGAGATGATACTTGCACGGTGATTGCAAAGTGAGCCCTGTGCTTGGCACACTCTAAAGTGCCCAATAACACACAAACGCACACATGATCTGCCCCTAGACGTGTGGTGGTTCTAGACCAGCACTGTCCAATGGAACTTTCTGCAATGACAGCAAGATTCTGTACCTCCACCATCCAGTCTGGTAGTCACTAGCTACATGTGGCTATTAAGCACCCGAAATGTGATTACCACAACTGAACTGAATTTTGAGTTTAATTTAATTTTAATAGTCGGGCTTCCCCAGTGGCTCAGTGGTAAAGACATAAGAGACATGGGTCCAATCCCTGGGTCGGAAAGATCCCCTGGAGGAGGAAATGGCCACCCACTTAGTATTCTTGCCTGGAGAATCCCATGGACAGAGGAGCCTGGCGGACTATAGTCTATGGGGTCGCAAAGAGCTGGACACGACTGAGTGACTGAGCACACACAGACACAATTTAAATAGTCACACAAGCCACACGTGCCTGGGGGTGTTGGACAGTGTAGTTCTAGAGAACTGTGACTCAGGGTCACACCATCAGCATCTATGGGGCAAAGAGAAAACTTCCCCAAACTAACTTTTTAGGAGCTTCAGGCAGAAGTTCCTGACGTCAGAGTGGGAAGCACCAGGCAGGACCAGCTTGTCTGGCTCTCAGTCACTGATGGCACCACCCAGGTTCATTTGTAGGTCAGGGAAGATTCTTTGTCCCAGAAGAAATTATCCAGGACCCGGGCAGGACATGAGCCTACATTCAAGAAGGCCCTGGTTCCAGGCAAGAGGCTTCTTGATTACCTATGGTTTTCAGCCCTGGCTCTGCCAGCAACTTATTCATCACATAAATACCATGCATCTCTGATGTTCTGGGCCCTGGGCTGCAATTTTACATGACCCTGGACAAGTACCTCCCTTACTTTCAGTTTCGCATACGTTATACAAAAGCGCTACTAAGATGATTCATTAAATTGTTTCTCCAACACGTCCATTATCAGATAGTAGGGAGAACTGTGCTCATTTTTTTTTTTTTTGTAAAATACAAGAAGACCCAGATATGGAGCAGGTCCCAAGGGTTTTGCAATCTAAAAGAAGAGATAAGACATATGCACAGAGGGCTGTCATTCAGAAAAGGAAATTTTAAGTGTCATGAAAGAGAAATAAAGGGGACCGTTTAGTCCTTTGATTCTGAGCATGTTGCCCAGAAGTTTGGAATGTTCTAAAGGCAAAAAGTCTGGCAAATAGCAGGCATCTGTTGTAAACAAGATTTTGTGTGTGTGAAAGTGACAATATAACTTCAACGGCTTCAGAAAAAAAAAAAGGACTGTTAATTTTTGGCTTGTGTTTTTGGCTCACGTAAATGAGAAGTCCAGAAATACTAGCTTCAGGCAAGGCTTGATCAAGGCTTTAAATGATGTCTTAAGATTTTCTCTCTCTTCCTCTACTTTTCTCCTCTCCCCAACATCTAGCTGTTCTTTTTTTCCATGCCGGCTCTCCTCACACTGTGGTCTGGGGCACTCCAGGTTTATGCAGTCCTTGGTATTAATAATCCTAGAGAAAACAAGTGTTTCTTTCCCAATAGTTCTCACAATAATCCTGGGGTGTTCTCAATGGCCTAAGGCATGTGACAGTCAAAGAATCAATCACTGCAGCCAAGGGGACTGGATTACACTGTTTGTTTTTTTTCTGTCATTATTGTATAGTTTTATTATTGCTTTTATGTTAGTATTTTCCAATCAGATTAGGGACTCTTTGAGGTGAAAATGGTATTTTATTTCTATCAAGATGGCTCAGCACAAAGCTGGTTGATTAAATATTTTTTAATTGATGATTTATTAAAAATGTAGACTATATTAACACTACCATGAAATTCAAGCTGCTTCATTTGGGATGTGATTTTTTAAATTAATTTATTTATTTTAATTGGAGGCTAATTACTTTGAAATATTGTAGTGGTTTTTGCCATACATTGACATGAATCAGCCATGGGTGTACATGTGCCCCCCATCCTGAACCCCCTCCCACCTCCCTTCCCATCCCATCCCTCAGGGTCGTCCCAGTGCACCAGCCCTGAGCACCCTGTCTCATGCATCCAACCTGGACTGGTGATCTGTTTCACATATGATAATATACATGTTTCAATGCTATTCTCTCAAATCATCCTACCCTCGCCTTCTCCCACAGAGATGACCCTATATGCAAGACAGCAAAACAGACACAGATGTAAAGAACAGACTTTTGGACCCTGTGGATTACACTGTTAAACCAGCTCCAGGTCACATACCCACCCTGGGAGCTGTAAGAGATGGGCAGGAGATGACAGTGGACTGAGAGTGGAAGAGACCTGGCTTTCCCAAAGGGAGAAAATGGAGGTGCTACTGCTAGAGGGGGGGAATTGATGTGGAAAAGCAAAAATTATAGTGTTCTCTATAATTACATCCCTAGTAGAGTCAAAGTTGCACTCTGGAAGTCCTGAAACAAAAAGCAGATCATTCTTTTTTAAACAAATTTTTGACTGCATTGGCTTTTAGTTGCGGCACACAGGCTCTCTGTGATAGCACGGGCTCCACGCTGTGTGGGCTCAGCAGCTGCAGGGCCCAGCCAGGCTCAGCTGCTTTGCGATATGTGGGATCTTAGTTCCCCAACCAGGGAAGGGACCCATGTTCCCTGCCCTGGAAGCAGGGTGTCTTAACCACTGGATCACCAGGGAAGTCCCCAGAGCAGATTATTCTTGATGCTCCCTTCCAAATACCCTCTACCTTTAGCCTGTGCTTCTCCCAATGTATATTTGCCACCTACTCAGCTGTGCCAGGAAACAGGATACCAGCAGCATCATTTTGTGGAGGCTGTTCTCTCCATCTTTAACAGATTCTCAACCTCACCAGGACAAAAACCTCGATTGTCTTGTTCATCGCTGCGTCCCAAGGGCCCAGCCCCATTCCCGGTACAATAAATATTTGTTGAATGAATCAATGGTGGGTGGACCTTCCAGCAGTCTAGAATGTGGGCTCCTCTCACTCATGGAGGATTTTTTACTACTCAGAGCCTCTAGAGAATGAATGATAGAGCCAAGTATGTATTTGTGGCCCTGTGCTAAAGGCTGAGGATGCCAAAATGAGAAAATTATTGTCTCAGCCCTGCAGGATCACCAAGCTTATTGTGGAAAATACAAACAGGAGTGTGCTGGAGCTGGCTTGTACCAGCTCTGAGCCATTTATGCTCATCCCTTCCCAGTTCCAATTCAGTGATGTTCTATTGGTAGCTTGAAATCAGCAATGGTGGGGATATTTATACCACAATAGTCAGTAACTGCTACAATATCAGGGCTTATTGTTTTAAACATTTATCAACACACCACTGTGCATATCTAAACATACCATTATATCAGAGTGAGAAGTATCACAGTAAGTGCCATGGAGTCTTTTTTTATGCCACCTCACACAGCTGTGGGATCTTAGTTCCCTGATCAGGGATCGAACCCATGCCCCTGCAGTGAAAGCAAGGATTATCAACCACTGGACCACCAGGGAACTCCTTCCATGGTGTCTTAAGAAGGGAGAAATTCTTCCTGGAGAAACTGGAGAATTTTGGAAGGTTTTGCCCACTGGATTGCATTTCTCTCCAACCATCATATTGACCCAAGCAAGAAATGAGAGCCTCTGGTCACTGGCTCACTGACTCCCTTGGTCCCTGTCATCACTGATCCCCATTTTGCATTTCTCTCTCTCAGGCCTGCGCTCTTGGTGAGTGCTGAAAACTTTACTGTACTCATCAAGAATAATATCGACTTCCCTGGCCACAATTACACCACGTAAGTGCCCAGAAGGTCTAGCTGTATTTGTTATCCACTGTTGCATAACAAATCACCCCAACACTTAGAAGCTAAAAACAACAAGCTTTAATTTTCTCACAAAGTTTCTGGGCATCCTAGACTGACATCTGGGAATGACTTCATTGGGTGGTTCTGGCTCAGGGTCTCTTAGGATACAGTCAAGCTATCAGTGGGGGCTGCTGCCATCTCCAGACTTGACTGGGGCTGGAAAATCTTCTTCCAAGCTCACTCAAGTGACTGTCATCAGAACTCAGTTCTTCGCTGTGTGGACTTCTCCTTCAGACTGCTTGAGTCCCCTTGGGATGTGGTGGCTGGCTTCCCCAGAGCAAGTGATCCAAGCCAAAGAGCAAGCATGCAAGATAGTAACCAAGAGAGAAGCCACTGTATTTTATAATCTAATCTCAGAAGTGACACACCATCACTTCTGTCATATATTACTGGTCACACAGACCAACACTGTACAGTGTAAGAGGGGTATACACAAGGGTGTGAATCCCAGAAGGCAGGATCATTGGAGGCCCTCGAAGTGCCAGGTACCACACTGGTTCACGCCCATGAAAGAGATGGATCCCAGTTTTCACTAAAGATGCTTGTTTGCCTTCCATCATGTGCAGGAGAAACATCTTGCCGGATTTAAACAGCACTTGCACCTTTCACAAGACTCGGGATCCACAGTGTCCCATTTTCCGACTAGGAGATATCTTCCAAGAAACAGGAGATAATTTTTCAGAAATGGCAATTCAGGTTGGTGATGCCTGTTTGTAAAATGGAATGTGGGGAGGGTGGGTCAAGGGATGGAGGATGACAAATGGCCAAGAGGCTGGACCACTGGGTCTTAATAATATGCTCATATTCATGGAGGATTTTGTAAATCCATGTTCAGTGACAAGGACTTTTCCTGCATCACATTTAATCTCACAACAACCCTATGTGTGAAACCCTTCATCTGTTAGTTTCCTGTGGCTGCGCTAACAAATTAACACAAACTTTGGGGCTTAAAATAACACATTTTTTATACTTCTGGAGGTCAGAAGTGCAAAATGAGTATCACTGGGCCGAAATCAAGATACTGGCAGAGCCATGCTCTCTCTGGAGGCCCTAGGGGAAAACCCATTTCCTTGCCTTTTCCACCTTTTAAAACTGCATTCCTTGCATTTCTTAGCTCATAGTCCCTTCTTTCTGCTTCAAAGCCAGCAGCATAGCATCTTGTTTCAGTGGTCACATTGATTTCATTTTTCTTTTCTTTAAAAAAATATTTTTATATTTGTTTATTTGGCTGCACTGGGTCCTTGTTGCAGCACATGGGATCCTTCGCTGTGGCCTGCAGGCCTATTTGCTCTGGGGTATGTGGGATCTTAGTTCCCTGACCAGGGATGAAACCTGTGCTCCCTGCACTGGAAGCATGCAGTCTTAACCACTGGACCACCAGGGAAGTCCCCTACATTGATTTCTTATCCTGTGTTAAATCTCTCTCTGCCTCTCTGTTCATAAAGATCAGTATGTCTTTATAGAGTCCACCCAGATAATCCAGATTTCCTCTTCTCCAGATCTTTATTTAATCACACCTGCAGTCTCTTTGGAGAAGGCAATGGCAACCCACTCCAGTACTCTTGCCTGGAAAAATCCCATGGACAGAGGACCCTGGTGGGCTGCAGTCCATGGGGTCGCTATGAGTCGGACATGAGTGAGCGACTTCACTTTCACGCATTGGAGAAGGAAATGGCAACCCACTCCAGTGTTCTTGCCTAGAGAATCCCCAGGACGGGGGAGCCTGGTGGGCTGCCGTCTATGGGGCCGCACAGAGTCAGACACGACTGAAGTGATTTAGCAGCAGCAATCTCTTTGGAGGGTTCCCCAGTGGCTCAGTGGTAAAACATCTGCCTGCAATGCAGGAGATGTGGGTTTGATCCTTGGGTCAGGAAGATTCCTTGGAGGAGGGCATGGCAACCCACTCCAGGAGAATTCTTGCTTGGAGAATCCCAAGGACAGAGGTGCCTGGTGGGCTGCAGTCCATAGGGTCACAGAGAATTGGACACAACTGAAGCGACTGAGCATGCACGCATGCTGCCTCTTTTGCCATTTAAGGTAACATATTCAGAGATGTGGGGATTAGGACCTAGGATTAGGTACATTTGGGGGGCTATTACTCAGGCTGGGCTTCCCTGGTAGCTCAGTGGAAAAGAATCTGCCTGCCAATACAGGAGATGTGGGTTCAACCCCTGGGTCAGGAAGATCCCCTGGAGAAGGAAATGGCAACCTACCCCACTATCCTTGCCTGGGAAATCCCACAGATAGAAGAGCCTGGCAGGCTACAACCCATGGGGTCACAAAGAGTCAGACACAACTCAGAGACTAACAATGACAACTATCCAGACTACCACACTTTGGTTACTCAGGATTATTCCAGCTGCAAATTATAGAAATCCAACTCAAGTGATTTAAGCAAAAAATAAAAAGTAATTTAGGGGCAAATAACAGAAACAAAACTCAAGAGACTTAAGCAAAAAAGGAACCATATTAACTTGTGTAGAAAGACCAGGCGGAATGAACATTCTAGTATACCCAAAGCATCTTCCTACCTTGAGAGTTTTCCCTTGCTGTTCCCTCTGCCTGGAACAGTCTAGCCCCAGACATAGTATTAACTGTCTCCTACATTTACTTCCAGTATTCACTCAAATATAGCTTAGTGAAGCTTTCACTTACTGCTACATTTACAATGACAATTTCCACCTCTATCCCAGCAGGCCCTTTTCAGGTTTATTTTTATCCCTGGTACCAAGCATTATCTGACATACTATATATTTTACATCATTTCCATTTGTCTGTTGTCTATTTTCTCTGACTAGAATGTAAGTTCCATGAAGGTAGCTCTTTTTTTTGGTTCACTTTTGTATAACATTCAGCACATAATGGACAGTCAATAAATATTTGTTGGCTGAATGAAGTGTATGATAGATTTAGGCATAGCTGCATCCCAGAACTCAAATGCTATCTTCAGGAATCTGACTCCTTTCATTTTTTTATTGTTTCCTTAATGATGATATTCTCCACATGTCAAGTCAAAACCACCAAAGCTCTAGCACTGTGCTATCCAATATGGTAGCCACAAGTCACATGCAGCAACTTAAACTTAATTGAAATTAAAAACTTATTTCCTTGGTCATACTAGCGTCATTTCAATAACCACTGGCTACTGTCTTACAGGGCATGAATATAGACTATATTCATCAGCATAGAAAATCCTATTAGATAGTGCTGCTTTAGACTTTCACACTCCATAGCTAGTGGTCTCAACCAACAGAGGACCTTTTCCCCTATGGTTCTGGCAAAATGTCTCAAGGAGAGTTCTGGTTAACCCTACCTTGGGGTACATAATCTATCTGAACTAGTCATCAGGTCCAGAGGGAAGCACTGTCCTGATTGGCTAGGACTGAGTCAGGTGCCCATTCCTGGGAGAGGTCACAGCCCCATTCAAACCACGGAGAGTTAGAAAAGGTGTTTCCCAAAGGAAATTCCAGGTAGCTTTCCCAGAAGGCGGTAAATTGGATGCCAAGTGACAAAGGTATTAATATATTCACTATAGTAGGTAGAGTGCTTGGTTTAGTGCCTGACCCCCCCAAAAAGGCAGTTGTGATTATTCTGTATTATTTCTCCTCCCTCTAAGTCAGAACCTCTTTGTTAATCATTTCTATATCCTCAGAATACTATATCTAGCATACTGTCTTTAAATGCCTAATTTCATCGATTCAAAGAGATATCTTTTTTCACTTTTAATAATTTTGAAATCAATAAGTGCTTTCAGTTGATGGAGTCTCACAGCTTAACGGACACCAGTTTTTTCCTTGGAGGAACATTAAAAAAAAAAACAAAAACCCTGCATGTCTTACAAGCAATGGTGTCTAAGCTTCAGTGAAATATGATGGCCAGTGCTCAAAAAATGTCTGTAGAAAAAAAAGAAGTACTAAGTATAGACAAGAGTTGAGCAGATTCTTTAGAAGTTTAGAGGAGAGAAAGGTAACCATGAATTGAGGAGTATAGGGGTGCTTGAGTGGATGGGGAAGGATGTTGGCTGGGTCTTGGAGGATGAGTAGAATTTAGCTAGAGAAGTGGGTAGGAGAAAAGTTTCATTGGGAGAAAAGGTCAAGGGCCAAGATTAAAAGATGCAAAGTATACCCAGCAATTCCACTCCAAAGTATGTACCCCCCAAAAATGACAACTTATATTCACACAAAAACTTGTATCTAAACATTCACAGCAATATTATTCATTATAGTCAAAAGGTAGAAATGACCCAAGGGTCCATCAAAAGATGAACGGATCAACAAACTGTAGTGTATTCATACAATGGAATATTCTTCTACCACAAAAAGGAATGAAGTACTGACACTTGCTACAGCATGTACTAACTTTAAAAGCATTATGCTAAGCAAAAGAAGCCAGACATAAAAGATCATGTATTACATGATTTCATTCATGTGAAAGTTCAGTATAAGGAACTCTGCAGAGACAAAAAGTAGATTAGTGGTTGCTTAGTGTTGAGAGGGGTAATAACTAAAGTTTACATGTTTTCTTTTGGAGGTAGTGAAAATGCTGTAAAATTGACTGTGGCAGCAGTTGCACATATACATGAATATAAGTGTGGAACTGTACATGTTAGGCGGGCGAATTGTATGTGAATTGTATCTCAATAAAGCTGTTGAGATACAGCTTTACTTTAAAATAAAAAAGAAAAGTGTGTCTGGGAAAAGCATAGTCTGGCCTAACAGCTTGAGATAAGCAGAGAGGACGTGATGGAGCACGCTGAATTCCAGTATAAGCTTCAGCTTAATCTTTAATGGGGGTGGAGGCATTAATAATGTCTGATTACTGGAGGAGTTTGTTGAAAGTTGGGCTTCCCTGGTGGCTCTGAGGGCAAAGAATCTGCCTACAATACCAGAGACCTGGGTTCGATCCCTGGATCAGGAAGATCCCCTGGAGAAGAAAATGACAACCCACTCCAGTATTCTTGCCTGGAGAATCCCATGGACAGAGCCTAGTGGGCTACAGTCCACGGGGTCGCACAGAATCGGACACGACTGAGCGACTAACATTACTACTACTTGTTGAAAGTTATATTTTAGGAAAGTAAATTTAATGGTAGTATGTTCGGGGGGTGGGGGGGAGGAGGAGCAGGGAGATGCATTTGTAGTTGCCAAAGTAGTAGTTGTATGAGTTAAATTGGATGGTACTTAGGACCCTGAAATTTTTTATCAGCATTTTTTATCCTCAAAAGCAAACTTTTCTTTCAGTGATCATCACCATGCAGGGAGATGTCTGATGGCTGCATAACCTACGTCCAGCGAGGCTTAGAGATTATCTCTTGCTTTCTTCCCCAGGGAGGAATCATGGGCATTGAGATCTACTGGGACTGCAACCTGGACAGATGGTTCCATCACTGCCGTCCAAAATACAGTTTCCGTCGCCTTGACGACAAGACTGCCAAGGAGTCCTTGTACCCTGGCTACAACTTCAGGTAACAGTGCTCCGGGTCAGATTTGCCCAGTAACTAGCCCTTGGCTCCCCAGGGACCTGGGGAATTGAATTCAGACCCTGCTGAATTGTATCCCCAGCAGCCAGTAAGACTAGTTTTGTTTCCCAAGGCAACAAGATGAATGTAAAAGACTTCCTCTCAGAGCTAGGCGGTGACTGAATTTTTGTATGAATTATTAAAGAATTGCACTCTCTTTGTAAGATAAAAACAAAACTTGGGAAACAGAGATATCCATAGAGAAGAGGATAAAAATCACCCATAATTCCTCTACCCTGAGATAACCGAAGATAACCTTCTGGTGAAATTTCCTTTGTCTAACCAACTGTTTTGTGAGGCTTATATGAAATCATATAATATGTATAACCTGGTATTCTGTGAGATGTTTTCATATGCCAGTTCAGTTCAGTTCAGTCGCTCAATCGTGTCTTGACTCTTAGCGATCCCATGAACCGCAGCACGCCAGGCCTCCCTGTCCATCACCAACTCCTGGAGTTTACCCAACTCATGTCCATCGAGTTGGTGATGCCATCCAACCATCTCATCCTCTGTCATCCCCTTCTCCTCCTGCCTTCAATCTTTCCCAGCATTAGGGTCTTTTGAAATGAGTCAGCTCTTCGCACCAGGTGGCCAAGGTATTGGAGTTTCAACTTCAGCATCAGTCCTTCCAATGAATATTCATGACTGATTTCCTTTATGATGGACTGTTTGGATCTCCTTACAGTCCAGGGGACTCTCAAGAGTCTTCTCCAACACCACAGTTCAAAAGCATCAATTCTTCAGGGCTCAGCTTTCTTTATAGTCCAACTCTCACATCCATACATGAATACTGGAAAAACCATAGCCTTGACTAGACAGACCTATGTTGGCAAAGTAATGTCTCTGCTTTTTAATATACCCTCTAGGTCGGTCATAACTTTTCTTCCAAGGAGTAAGCGTTTTACGTGCATTTTATGATATGTTAATTACATCTCAATAGAACAAACAAAGAAATCCAATAAGACCATTTCAGATGATGACACATGCTTTGAAGAAAATCAAACAAGATAGTTTGATAGGGTGGGGAGCAGGGATGCAACCAGAAAAGGCCTCTCCAAGGACGGGATAGGAACCCCCCATAGGCACTGTGCACTTTCCTGAAGAGTGAGCTTTCCTAGTTATGAAGGGAAACTGCACACACAGGAGTCCATCTTAGGGAATCAACTTACAAACATATTAGCTTCCCTGAATACTTTTCCTGCTGATCGTCTGGACTCTCAAAGTGTGAGTCCCCACATCAGCATCTTGTTAGAAATGCAAATTCTCAGGCTCTCCTCAGACCTACTGAATTAGACACTCCAGGGATTGTCCCTCCCAGGTTATTTGGATGCAAACTCAAGTTTGAGAATCACTAGTCTAGACCCTTGATACTCAAAATGTGATCCTGTTACCAGGAACATGGGCCTTGCCTCAACATGGGAGCTTGTTATGATGTAAAAATCTCAGCTTCCACTCTTAATTTACTCTCTTATGTCTCCTGCATTGGCAGGCGGTTTCTTTACCACTAGTGCCTAAAATCTGGAGAAGGCAATGGCAGTCCACTCCAGTACTCTTGCCTGGAAAATCCCAGGGATGGCAGAGCCTGGTGGGCTGCCGTCTATGGGGTCGCACAGAGTCGGACACGACTGAGGCGACTTAGCAGCAGCAGCAGCAGCAGTGCCTAGAATCTACATCTTATGATTCCCAAAAGATTCATGTGCACATTAAAGTTTGAGAAGCACTGGTCTAGTGGTCTAGTGGTCTAGAAGCACTGGTCTAGGCTATGTCATCTAGCATCCCAAACATGCTTTCTTCTTTGATGTTTCATTTGACTGTATTTTGTTTCTTACCACCAGGTTGCTAGTTGCCTGGGAGAATGAATAAAATGAGGTGTCTACTTAATCTGAGCATGCAAGTACAGGCCAAAGTGCATGTGCAAACACACACATACACCCATTCACTGCCTCCTAACCCTTCTGCTAGCACTCTTATTGGCTTTTTGTTATCCACTCAAGCAAATGGATCTATTCATATTTTAGGTAAAGCAGCATCATTAACCGGCAAGCAGACTTCAAACTTTTTTGTTGTTGTTGTTATTGTTGTTGTTGGCCTGTACAATGTTTTGAACATTGAGATATTCTACATAAAAATATGAACTTCCTGCTTTTTCTGGAAAATTAAACTAGTTGGAAAAAAATCAAACCATGTAACAACACTGGCTTCATATCCCACAGGAGAGCCCTCAGCTGGAGTTGAGTGTCAGTGGTTCCCTCTTGGTTTGCCACAGTCCTCACCACTCTTTATTGCCTCATACCTGGCTGCATCACTTATTTCTGTTATCTGTCTGGCCCCTACAGGCATCTGAGTTTGAAACTCCTGACTAAGAGCTGGCTGAGATCAACACACAAGAGGCATTTTTAAAGAACACTGTCTTTGCTTCAGTGACTTTATTTTTTTCATATTTATTTATTTGGCTTCTCCCCCTCCCGCCCTGAGTCTTAGTTGCTGCAAGCGGAAACTTCATTGCAGCATATGGGATCTTTTTAGTTATAGCATGTAGGATCTAGTCCCCTGACCAAAGATTGAACCTGAGCCCCCTTCATTGGGAGCTTGCAGTCTTAACCACTGGACCACCAGGGAAGTCCCATAAGAGGCTTTTTGCCTTCTCTGGGTCCATGGAGTCTCATCCAGGGCCCTGAAACCAGCTCCTAGTTTAGGTAATGTTTTGATCATTCCCTGCTGCTCTACTGAATAGGCTTGTGGCCATTAGTAGGAAGCGAGGCCTGGGTCAGTGGTCCCCAGTTGCCCTCACAGGCTGTTTTTTAAGCATCCAGCAGACGCATGCAGGGCAGTGTACCCATCAGATGTTAGCAAATGTCCTTCAAGTCTCTGAGCTGAGCCTAAGAACATTAGCTCCTGGAGAGATCTGAGCTTTCTGAAGAACTGGTTGATCTTTCAGATCAAAGTGTTAGAGCATTTGTTCTCTGGAATCAAGCACCAGAAGAAATCTGTAGCCAAAAATAAATTGTGGAGACCTGATGGGTAACTTCATTTTCAAATAGCCACAGAAAAGAGAAGGAAATTAGAGGTTATATGAGGTATATGAGAAAATATATATAAGCTTTCTAAAACACAGGAAGTTGAAGGAATTGATCACGTTGCACATATTTCATCCTTTACCAAAAGATCTGTGGCCAAAGGTTCTTAGGCAATGATTCAGTTTATTTACAAGACGTGTAAAGCAGGGAAGACCCACCCAGGACAGAATGCCTGATGGGCTTCTCTGCTCTCAGAATAGGTATATATGTGTATTCATTTCCTGTGGCTGCTTTAACAAATTACCACAAACTTGGTGGCTTTAAACAACAGAAACTTTTCACAGTTCTGGAGGCCAGAAGTCCAAAATCAAGGTGTCAGCAGGGACATTCTCCCTCTAAAGGCCCCAAGGGATGACCTCCCCTTGCTGCTTCTGGCTTCCGATGGCTTTTGTTGTTGTGCTTAGTCGCGTCCGACTCTTTGCGACCCCATGGACTGTAACCCGCCGGACTCCTCTGTCCATGAGATTCTCCAGGCAAGAATACTGGAGTAGGTAGCCATCTCCGACTCCAAGGGATCTTCCTGACTCAGGAATTGAACCTGAGTCCCCTGCACTGGCAGGCAGATTCTTTACCACTGAGCCACCAGGGAATTACAGATCTTCACTGGTGCTCTGCTCGTAATGTGACTAATGCTTATTTTTTCTGCTTCTCAAGGATATCAGCTTGCAATATATAATTGACCCGTGAACAATACAGGTTTGAACTGCCTGGGTCTATTCACACACAGACTATTTTATTTTATTTTATTTTATTTTATTTTTCTGTTTGACTCCCTGCAATTTTATTGAAGAGTCCATGGTCCCCTTCCTGCCCCAGAATTACAGTGGTTCCTTTATTATAAATCAGATGACCACACACAGACTATTTTAAATAATAAATATTAATACTATAGTACTACACAATCCACAGTTGGTTGAATGCACAGTTGCAGAGGGAATATGGATATGAAGGGCCAACTGTAAGTTAAAGTGGATTTTCCACTGGGCAGAGGGTGGGCACCCCAACCCCCGTGCTGTTCAAGAGTTAACTCTATAGCCCTTCTAGCACCAGCACTCCATTTAGAACTTCATCTTTTTTTTTAAATAGGCCAATTCTAGTGGTTTTTAAAATTTCAAATTCCTAAGACAGAAAGTTTGATTCACCCAAAATATTGTTTCAAGCCATTTCCAACAAGATGAAACTGCTTGGTTCTTAACTCGTGGCTGCCTCCCTCCAGTATCTGCCTCCATCTTTACATGGGCTTCCCTTCTGGTTTCTGTTTTAACTCTCCCTCTCTTTCCTCTTATAAGGATAAAGTCATTGCATTTAAGGCCCACCCTAAATCCAGGATGATCTCATTTTGAGATCCTTAACTCATTTGCACTTGCAAAGATCCTATTTCCAAATAAGGTCACACTGGCAGGTGCAGGGGTTAGGCACTTGAGACTTGCCTTTGGTGGGGGCATTATTCAACCCACTACAGCACGCAAAAGCATCCTTGCCCATGAGGGCCTGGTATTTCGAATGTGGTCCACTATTCACCTATATCAGAACCAGCTGGTCCCTTGCCTAGACATATAGGTTCCCAGAAACATTTCACACCATCTGAAACCACCCTTTGGGGTGAGGCCCAGGAATCTGCCTTTTGAAAGTGCTTCCCAAGTGATTCTTGCCCTCAGTATGAGAACCACCATACCAAGCCCCTGAAAACTGAAATTCAAGTATTTACTACAGTGTTAACCTTCCAGCAAAACAGCTTGCATGGAGAGATTATGCAACCCTGGGGCATGGAGTGGTGATGCATGCTGGTTTTCCATTTTAAAAAGCAAATCAGTTAATAGAGCAAAAGAAAGTGTTGTCATTAAATGAGAACATTCAGATGCAAAGAAACTGAAACCCCTTTAGCCAGAAACAGGCACTGAAGCGCTGAGAACATCTAATTCATCTCTATGTCAGATCTGGAGAGTTTAAAAAAGAAAAAAATAGGAATTTCAGATGTTCCATACTATATTTTGGCAGAGCATTCATTTTTTGTTTTCTTCTCTCCCCACACCTATAAGTAGATTATGAGTTAATAACTCAAAGAAAAAAAATGTCCTGGGACTTCCTGGTGGTCCATCTCTAGTGGGTCATCTCTATGCGGTGGTGTCAGCAGCAACTTATATCTTTGCTGTAAATGTCTATAACACTCTGAGCTCCCAATGCATGTGGTCTGGCTCCAATCTCTGGTTAGGGAACTAGATCCCATATGCCACAACTAAGAGTTCGAAGATCACAACTAAAGATCCTGCATGCTGCAACCAAGACCTGGAGCAGTCAAGTGAAAGTCCCTCAGTTGTGCTGGACTCTTTGTGACCCCGTGGACTGTACAGTCCATGGAATTCTCCAGGCCAGAATACTGGAATGGGTAGCCTTTCCCTTCTCCAGGGGATCTTCCCAACCCAGGGATCGAACCCAGGTCTCCTGCATTGCAGGCGAATTCTTTACCAGCTGAGCCACAAAGGAAGCTAAATAAATATACAAAAATAAATTTAAAAAGAAAAGCAGACTTTCCATCACTCTGTTATGCCAAAAGTAGAGGAGGTGATGTGGGGAGGTGGTGCTTTGGTTCCAGGTGAAGAGAGAGAGAAATTTGTGTTCTTCCCTTTGCTAACAACAGCAGAGCTGGAAGAAGACTAGAAAAGTAGATTGGACAAAGACTAGATCGGCTACTGTTTCAGTTTTTCTTTTCATAAAATACCATCACTTTCAGATAGATCTTTATAAATATGGATCCTTTTCCTCCTACAGATTTGCCAAGTACTATAAGGAAAATAACACTGAAAAGCGGACCCTGATAAAAGCTTACGGGATCCGTTTTGACATCCTGGTTTTCGGCACCGTAAGTCTCTTCTCCACTCTCAGCCACTGGCATCACTGTTCCTATGACTGTGTCTTAAATTACTGCCATGGTATCTCAAAGGGTGAATGCTTTGGTCCTAGTCATTAGCTGGCACTGTGCACTTTGCACGTGGGATACAAAAAGGGGAAGAAATGTCTTTGTTCCTAACAAGTCATTTAATGAGTACAAGAGTAGGCTTGGGGAAAAAACCTAATAATTCAACTTTAAAAATACTCTGATGCTTAAAAAGGAGAGAGAAATTGTATATTAATGCATATATATGGAATCTAGAAAGATGGTACTGATGAACCTATTTATAGGGCAGCAATGGAGACAGAGAGGCCTGGGGTACTGTGGTTCATGGGGTCGCAAAGAGTCGGACACGACTGAGCAACTGAACTGAACTGAATGGAGACACATTCATAGAGAACAGACTTATGGACGTGGGTGGTGGGGAGGAAGGAGATGGTGGGACGGATGGGGAGAGTAGCATGGAAACATATACACTACCATATGTAAAATAGATAGCCAGTGGGAATTTGCTCTATGACTCAGGGAACTCAAACTGGAGCTCTGTAACAACCTAGAAGGGTGGGAATGGGTGGGAGGTGGGAGATTCAAGAGGGAGGGGACATATGTATACCTATGGCTGATTCATGCTGATGGATTGCAGAAACAAACTCAATATTGTAAAACAATTATCCTTTAATTAAAATATTTTTTTAAAAGGAAAGAGAAAGAGATCCCTCTGTAAAATAGTTTGTCAGGACAGAACCCAATTCAAATTGGGTTAGTTCACATAACTGATAAATCCAGAGGCAATTTTCAGGCTTCAGGTATTGCTGAATCCAGATGTTTTAATAACATCATAAGGAACCTGCCCCCCTCCATCTCTTACGTTTTTCTCCTCTGTTTTGGCATCATTCCCAGTGGGTCATCTCTACGTGGTGGTATCAGCAGCTACTTATATCTTTGCAATTTAGCAACCTCTACAGAAAGAGAACATCTCAGCAAAAACCTCAGCAGATGCCACTGGCTTTGACTGGCCCATTATGGGCCACATGCTCACTGATAAACTAATCATTATGACTAGGGTCACTCACAATGGCTGGTCTTAGACCAGCCCTGAACCAGCCTCTTCCCTGCAAACTACAGGGATTGAGTATGCACAGAGATGGTTCTCCAAAGGAAAACTGGCATGCTGTCTCCAGAAGGAGGAGAGATGCAAAAACCAATGGATGCCCACATATCTTGTCTGACAGCATATTATTTACTTAACGTGGTAATAAGCCCCACAGGAATCAATGAGATATAGTGAGAAGATACAAAGACACTGAGAATAAAAATCATAAGGACATCGAAGGGGAGACTTTGTGCAGACATTCCTTCCCTCTGTTTCCAAAGTAATTTCAAATCACTTTTAGGGAAAGCTCTTCTGAAACCCTCACCTTGAATGGAAAAATAAACTTTCAGTGGCTCTCCTCTCAGTGTGTGGGCTCCAGTGCTTCTTAGTTTAAAACACCCATGTTTCCAAGCACATCCTAGAGACAGAAGCAGAAGGAATGGGATTCATATTTTCAGTCTCCTTAATCTTTGTTGCTGTGAACACATTGGATGCAGTTGTCAAATTCATGGCACTAGACTCCCTCCTCTGCTGGAACTTACAATTACATGTTCGAGCAGGAAAGCATGATTCTGAATTTCAACCAAGTAATCTTTTGTACTCTGTTTTCAGGGGGGGAAATTTGACATCATCCAGCTGATTGTGTACATTGGTTCAACCCTCTCCTACTTTGGTTTGGTAAGAGATTTTTTTTCTCACACTTTATGAAAATGAAGTGGCTAAAGGAAGTTTCACTGACAAGGTGCTTGTCTGGTTTTTTTTTCAGGCCACTGTGTTCGTTGACATGCTCATCAATACTTATTCAAGTAAATACTGTCGATCGCATGTTTATCCCTGGTGCAAGTGCTGTCAATTCTGCGCAGTCAATGAATACTACTACAAGAAGAAGTATGAATCCATTGTGGAGCCAACACAGGTAAGACTCGATGTGTCTACGGGATATCAAAATCAAAACACCTGAAGGAAAAAAAAAAAAACACCTGAAAGGCCCATTGGCTCACTGAGGAGAGTGCAGAAATAAGGCCAAAAATGATAGGTGTCATCAATCCCATGGTGGATAAGTATCAGGATCCTACCCCAATCCACATTCTCCCTCAGATGAATCCTTTCATTTTAGTGAAGAAAAGAGACAAAAATAGAGAAGCAGTATATAGGGAAAACAAATGTTTATGCTCTAGGATTTGTCAATTTGGTCAGATTTATTAAACTGGTTGTGCAATAAAAGTATAATAACTTTGGAGAACAATTTGTCAATCTAGTAACATTTAAACAGGACATGCTTTACACCTTGGCATTTCTGCTTCTCCATACCTGTCCTAGAGAAACACTCACATGGGTACCCAAGTAGTGCACATGTACAAGATGTCTGTCACAGTGCTATGTGTGACAGTGATGAAGAGCATCTGCCCAAATGCCCAAGAGGTGAATAGTGAAATGAACTATGATAAATCCATAGTAGGGAATGCCTGGCACCAGTTTTAAAAAATGACGCAGATAATTATAAAAGCAAATGCTCATATAGAGTTCCCAGTACTATGTATACATTAACTCACTGAACCTTCACACAGCCTTACAGGTGGGTTTATAGGATTGTGTGATTATCAGTAGAACTCTAGATAGGTACTACTTCTTTTATCTTTCTGCATATGAGGAAACTGAGGCACAGGAAGGTTAAATTATTTGCCCAAAATCATACAGTTGGCAGAGCTGGTATTCTAACTCAAGCAGGCTGGTTTCAGAATCCATGTTGATAACTATTATGTTAGAGGTACGGACATGAGCAAATATCCAAGATCGCTGAAAGTGAAAAAGCAAACTATGGAACAATATCTGTGGTATGATATATAGGTTAAAAAGCAACTATACACAAAAACTAATTTTATGTATTTTCTACACATATATATGTGTATTTATATACACACATATACATTCTGTATATTTTTATGTGCATTATACACACACATGTAAATGTGTGTGGGGAAGTAATAAACGTGTACAAAAAGGTTTGGACACTCACAAATCACTCACAGTGATTGCTTATGGAAAGGAGCCTCAGATGGGGGAGTAGTCAAAGGAAATTTTAGTTCATCTGTATGGTTTTGATTTGATTCATTTGGAATTTGATTAATTTTGGAATCCATGATTTCCTCCAATCAAAGAGAAATCTCTGGTACTTTAAAAACAACAAAGAGGGTTTCTTTCCCTTGTCCAAGAACACTGCTGTCCTTTTGTAGCAGCTGAATGCACAATTCATTGTTCATTGTACATGTATTTGCAATTAAAATCAAAGTTCATCTTTGCAACTAAAATTAATCACCATTTCATGGCCCAAGATGGGAGGCAATTTAATGAAGATAGAAATAATTTAAGTTGCAATAGTATAACTTTCTGGAGATATTCAACCTTAGCATAACTGAAATTGAGGGAACACAACAAAGGAATTTTATATAGCACTTGGGGTACCTGGAGATAATAGGCAGTAAGCTGTGGATACTCTAAGTCTACAAATTAAGGTGGCGGGGGCTCCATTTCTGATACTCAGAATCAATTCTTAGTTAGCAAGAGTTTCTGGTTAGCTTGTTTAACGGGTTGTCATTGGGTTAGTAGGAATAACAGTTGCCTTTAGATATGTTCAGATACACAGTAGGTGTAACTCTGTACTAAAATGGCTAACCCTTTCATTTTTTTTTCCCCCCCCCTGTGGATTTTTTTTTTAACATTTTATTTATTTATTTATTTTTTCACAACCATAGTGTATCTTTTTTTTTTTTTTTTACATGTATTCCCCATCCCGGTCCCCCCTCCCACCTCCCTCTCCACCCAATCCCTCTGGGTCTTCCCAGTGCACCAGGCCCGAGCACTTGTCTCATGCACCCAACCTGGGCTGGTGAACTGTTTCACCCTAGATAATATACGTGTTTCGATGCTGTTCTCTTGAAACATCCCACCCTCGCCTTCTCCCAGAGTCCACAAGTCTGTTCTATACATCGGAGTCTCTTTTTCTGTTTTGCACATAGGGTTATCGTTACCATCTTTCTAAATTCCATATATATGTGTTAGTATACTGTAATGGTCTTTATCTTTCTGGCTTACTTCGCTCTGTATAATGGGCTCCAGTTTCATCCATCTCATTAGAACTGATTCAAATGAATTCTTTTTAATGGCTGAGTAATATTCCATGGTGTATATGTACCACAGCTTCCTCATCCATTCGTCTGCTGATGGGCATCTAGGTTGCTTCCATGTCCTGGCTATTATAAACAGTGCTGCGATGAACATTGTAACCCTTTCATTTTTATCTCCTAGACATTAAAATATGTGTCCTTTGTGGATGAACCCTATATTAGGATGGTAAATGAAAGACTACTTGGGAGAAGTCTGCAAGATGTCAAAGGTGAAAAAGTCCAGGTAAGTTGTTTAGTGCTTGCTTTTTGTTTTTTGGCTGCGCAGCACAGCCTACGGGATTTTAGTTTCCTGATGGAACCCACACCCCCTGGAGTGGAGGCTTGGAGTCCTAACCACTGGATCCCCAGGGAATTCTCATTAGTCTTTTCACACTAATTAATTGATTAATTTGGTTGTGTGGGGTCTTAGCTGTGGCACACAGGATCTTCCTTGCGTCATGTGGAATCTCTCGTCGAGGCTCACAGCCTCTCTAGTTGTGGTGCTCTGGCTTCAGCAGTTGCAGTGTGTGGGCTTAGCTGCCCTGCCGCATGTGGGATCTTAGCTCTCAGACCAGGTATCGAACCTGTGACCCCTGCATTCCAAGGTGGATTCTTAACCACTAGACCACCAGGGAAATCCCAGTCTTTTTAAAAGAATACTTACTATTAAATGTAAATATATCTAGAAATGTGTATAAATCACAAGTGATGACAAAGTAAACACCATGCGACACATGGTACCAGCACCCAGATTTTAAAAGCGAATATTAATAGCAGAAGGCCCTTTAATGCCTCTACCCAATTACTATCTTCCCTTAAAAGTAGACATTATCCTGCATTCAAACGTTAGTTTTACCTCTTAGAGAATTTTACAAAATTTGAATCCTATAGTATGTATTCAGTACATACCCTGTTGAGTGGCTTCCTTCACTCAACTCTGTTTTTGTGAGAGTCATCCATGATGTTGTGTGTAGCAGTGGTTCAGTCTCATTGCTGTATAATTTCTGTTTTATAAACGTTCAATTTATTTATCCATTCAATTGTTGAATGAACTACCCATTTGGTTAGTTTCCACTTTGGGGTTCATGCCAATGCTGCCGCCACAGTGAACATATGGCACCTGAGGACGGAACTGCTGAGTCATGAGGCGGGCCTGTGCGCAGCTTTCATAGTGACGACCTAAAAGCTCTCTAAAGTGGGTGTTCTCATTCACACTCTCCCCAGCAGTTCTGGCTGCTGGACATCTTCACTGACTGCGTTAGTTTTCTACAGCTGCTGTAATGCATCATCACCACAAGCTAGGAAGCCTGGAGCAACAGAAGTGTATTCTCTCACAGTCCTGGAGGTTACAAGTCTGAAATCAAGCTGTCAAAAGGGCTGTACTCCCTCTGAAGGCTCTAGGGGAGGCTCCTTTCTTGTTTACTCCAGCTCCAGATGCTTGTTTCACCTGTTAGGATGTCCAGCACAATACTGATCAGAAATGATAAGAGCAGGCATCTTTGTCTCATTTCCTAAATCAGGAAGAAAGTTTTTCTATTTCACTGTTGAATTTGCTGTAGGGTTTTGTTTTTGTTTTTTGGCCTCCCTCACGGCTTGCAGGGATCCCAATTCCCTGACCAGGGGTTGAACCTGGCCCACCGCAGTGAAAGTGCTGAGTCCAGGCAATTCCCTGTTGTAGGTTTTTAAAGAATATCCTATCAGATTAAGAAAATTCCCCTCTGCTCCTAAGAATTTTTATCATGACTGGATACTGAGTTTCAAATGATGTATTTTTTCAGGCTTTTCAAATAATGAGTTTTCTTTTTTCTGTTTTTTAGTACATTACACTGATTGGTTTTCAAATATTAAGCCAACCTTTCATTGCTGCAATAAAATACATTGAATGCAATGTATTATTCTTTGTATTTACTGCTGGATTCAATTCACTAATATTTAAGAACTTTACATCTCTTCTTGAGAGAGACTGGCTAAAATTTTTCCATTCTTGTAATGTTTTTATCAGGCCTGGGTATAAAGCGAACTCTCATATGTTGGGGAAGGGCAGTAAAATACACATAATATAAAATTTACCCCTTGAACCATTTTACAGAGTACAATTCAGTGACATTTAGTATATCCACCATGCTGAGCAACCATCACCACTGCCTTGCTCCAGACCTTTTTTATCACTCCAAAAGGAAACTGAATCCATTCAGCAGCCACTTCCACTCACTTCTCCCCAGGCCCTGTGCAACCACTAATGTGCTTTCTGTATCCATGAATATGCCTATTTTGGACATTTCATGTAAACTGAATCTTACTTGTCTCCTTATGTCTGGTTCCTTTCAAGGTTCCATCCATGTTTGGCTAAACAGCCATGTTTAGTATTTGTCAGTAATTCATTCCTTTTCATAGCCGTATGAACATAATTTTTTTTTTTTTTTTGGTCTGTGTAGGTCTTGTTGCTACATGTGGGCTTTCTCAAGCCATGGCGAACAGGGGCTACTCTCTTGTTGTGGAGCGTGGGCTTCTCATTGTGGTGGCTTCTCTTGTTGCAGAGCATGGGTTCAGTAGTTGTGGCGCTCAGGCTTAGTTGCCCTATAGCATATGAGATCTTCCCAGACCAGGGATCAAACCCACGTCCCCTGCACTGGCAGGTCAGTTCTCAACCACTGGACCACCAGGGAAGTCCTGAACATAACAGTTTTTTATCCATTCATTCATTGATGGACATGAGTTATTTTCACCCTTTGGCTGTTATAATAATGGTGCTGTGTACATTCATGTACATGAACCATTTAGTTTTAATGTACTCAACTCACACTCTCTTTGTCTGGTGAATGAAGGTATATGTCACAAAGAATAGATATAAATGATGGCAATTATGGCAAATTCCCTTGGAGGATAACAAATGGATTTTTCAGAAAAGGGAGCATGGTGAGAAAGGAGAGCTAAGTCAGCAAATATTTATTGTCTACTATGTGCTGGGCACTGTCGTAGGCACTGGGGATACAGGCAGGAAACAAAGCAAACAGGGCCCCTGCTTTCATGTGGAAGAAGAATCATCCAGGAAACATGTGAGTTCATAAGATCATTTCAGATGGTGGTAAGTACTAATGAAGAGCATAGGACATCATCATGTGGTAAGAGAAGGACCTGAGCGGAGGGGAACTACCTAGATCAGGTGGGCGGGGCCCGGAGGTCTCTCTGATGAGAGGATATATGCACTAAGGCCTGGCTTTTCTGAATTTCACTTTCCAAACCTGTAAAATAGAGATCCGGACACACATCTCATGAGGCTTTCCTTTTTTAAAAAAAATTTTATTTATTTATTTTCGGGTGCTCTGGGTCTTTGTTGCTACACGCTGGCCCTCTCCAGTTTCAGTGAACAGGGGCCACTCTTCGCTGGGCTGCACGGGCCTCTCACTGCAGTGGCTTCTCCTGTTTCGGAGCACAGGCTCCAGGCACATGGGCTCAGAAGCTGTGGCTCATGGGCTTTAGTTGCTCTGTGGCATGTGGAATCTTCACGGACCAGGGATCAAACCTTGTCTCTTGCATTGCAGGCAGATTCTCACCCACTGCGCCACCAAGGGAAGCCCTCATGAGGTTTTTCAAAAGCTTAAATGAGGCGATGCTTGAGAAACACAGACTTGACGTGTACATTTAATAAATGAGAGCTGCTAGTATTAATGTAGTATTAAATGTAACTTTATAAGTTCATAAGAAAATTAAAGGACCCAGAACCCTAGGGGTTGTCACTGCTGACGGGTTTGGAAACTTGCCTTTTTCAGAGATCCCAGCTGGACTTTTCGGACTTGTCCCGGCTGCCTCTGTCTCTTCATGACCCACCCCCCATTCCCGGACAACCAGAGGAGATCCAGCTGCTCGGCGAAGAGGAACGCCTTAAATCCAGGGACTGCCCGGATTGGTGCCAGTGTGGAAACTGCCTTCCATCCCAACTCCCTGAGAACCAAAGACGCCTGGAGGAGCTGTGCTGCCGGAAAAAGCTGGGTGCCTGTATCACCACCTCAGAGCTATTCAGGGACCTTGTGCTGTCCAAGAGGGTCCTGCAATTCCTCCTGCAGTACCAGGAGCCCTTGCTGGTGCTGGATGCAGATTCTGCCAACAGCCGGCTGCGGCACTGCGCCTACAGGAGCTACACCACCTGGCGCTTTGGCTCCCAGGACCTGGCTGACTTCGCCATCCTGCCCAGCTGCTGCCGCTGGAGGATCCGGAGAGAGTTCCCCAAGAGTGAAGGCCAGTACAGCGGCTTCAAGAGTCCTTACTGAGGCACTGAGCAGTCACAGAACATTGCCTTTGCTTGCACCTTGAGCTTCACCTGCAAGGATGTGTGTTCAGATTTTTAGCCAAAGGGAAATGGGCTTTCCTCCCCCAGCTCTATGTGTGTCAGAGAGCAAAGTGACAGGGTAAACAAACAACAGATAAACCAGAATCCCTCAGCATGGACTGAGGGTCAAGAGATTCAGATTCATTTCTCCATTCTATCCCTAGGTGGTTGAGATCCTAGGCCTTTAATCCCTGTACCTTAGTTGCCTTATTAGCCAACCTACTGTTTCACAATTAGGAGAGCAAATTGAGACAGTGTACACAAATTTTCTTATTAATGCATAAAAGCTACATGAATATGGGCTTCCCTGGTGGTCAAGTGGTTAAGAATCCACCTGCCAAAGCAGGGGACATGGGTTCAATCCCTGATCCAGGAATACCCCACATGCTGCAGAGCAACTAAGCCCATGCACCACAACTACTGAAGCCCATGCCCTAGAGCCCATGCTCCGCAACAAGAGAAGCCACTGCAATGAGAAGCCCGCATACTGCAATGAAGAGGAGCCCCCACTCTCTGCAACTAGAGAAAGCCCGCACACGCATAGCAATGAAGACCCCAGCACAGCCAAAAATGAATTTAAAAAATAATGTTCTTTTAAAAAAAGAATGAGAGGGGTTAAAAGTGTCCACAAGTTTTTTTGACATCTGTTCCACAGGACCTGAGGGTTATGTCTCCTCCCCTTGGGTCTTGACAGCTTTGATCACCTTATCCAATGATAAAGTGATGCTGTATCTGATTCAGGGTCTTAGTTCTAAGATGCTGACAGTTTCCATGTCCTGTCCCTTGAAACTCTTGTTGCAAAGAAAACCAGCTCTCCTGTAAAAACCTGCCCATTTGGAGTCCACCCTGCTGTGAGGAAGCCCAAGCAGACGCGTGGAGAGGAGAGATGCCTGACCAGCGCCCAGCACTCAAGACATCCAAGCCTGTCACTAGACATGGTAGAGAAGAATCCTCCAAACTATTCCAGATCCTGCTAACATATAACTGCAGCTGAACAGACACCATAAGTGAGAGTTTCCCAGTGAACCCACAGAGCAGAATTGTTATCTTAAACTATGTTTGGGGTTGTCCGTTATACAGCAATAGATAACTGGGACAGACAGCAAGCCTGACTCATAGGATGTAGACTCAGCCTACACCTTCTCTGGTTCTACGGTTCTTAGGCAGCCTGGATATCCCTGGAGCCCCTTGAGGGCTTAGGTTTCCTTTTATTTTAATTGGAGGGTATTTGCATTACAAAGTTGTGTTGGTTTCTACTGTAAAACAATGCGAATCAGCCATAATATATATATGTTGTTATTGTTCAGTTCCTCAGTCGTGTCTGACTTTTTGCGATCCCATGGACTGCAGCAGGCCAGGCTTCCCTGTCCTTCACCATCTCCCAGAGCTTGCTCAAACTCATGTCCATTAAGTCAGTGATGCCATCCAACCATCTCATCCTCTGTTGTCCGCTTCTCCTGACTTCAATCTTTCCCCACATCAGGGTCTTTTCTAATGAGTCGGCTCTTCACATCAAGTGGCTGAAATATTGGAGCTTCAGCTTCACATCAGTCCTTCCAGTGAATATTCAGGACTGATTTCCTTTAGGATTGACTGGTTTGATCTCCTTGCAGTCCCAGGGACTCTCAAGAGTCTTCTCCAACACCACAGTTGAAAAGCATCAATTCTTCAGCACTCAGTTTTCTTTATGGTGCAACTCTCACATCCATACATGACTACTGGAAAAACCATAGCTTTGACTATATGGACCTTTGTTGGCAAAGTAATGTCTCTGCTTTTTAATACACTGTCTAGATTTGTCATAGCTTTTCTTCCAAGGAGCAAGCATCTTTTAATTTCATGGCTGCAGTCACCATCTGCGATGATTTTGGAGCCCAAGAAAATAAAATCTGTCACTGTTTCCATTGTTTCCTCATCTATTTGCCATAAAGTGATGGGACTGAATGCCATGATCTTCTTTTTTTGAATGTTGAGTTTTAAGCCAGCAATATATGTATGTGTATATATATATACAGCATATATGCACCATATGTATCTTCAGCAATATATATGTCACTGCAGACCAAATCAGGTAACTCACCAGACCAGCTCTGGAATCCATCAAATCTAACTGCTGAGCTACCCAATACATTGCAATCCACATCACATTTCTATGACTGGAAGTAACTATTGCTGTTAAAAACTGGAAAAAATAAAAGCCACCTTTATGCCTTTAACATCCTGTACTTTGCAACCAGTTACAATGGATACAGTCTGATTGCTACTTAAAAAGCAATTCACACTCAAAGCTCTTACCATTTCTATCCATCAACCACTGAGAGTATAAAAATGAATAGCAGGTTTTAGGATCCTACTCAGGATTTCCTTTTCAAGGTTTTAGCACTAGAACAGGCTGTTTCGAAATGACAACTATTTTAAACAATAAATACAGAGCACTATTCAAAACTGTGACTAATAAATGGTGTGTGAGTTTTTATACATACTCTTTAATATTTAGCACTTTGATACTTTTTGAAAATCACCAGCTTTCTACTGTATTAATGTAAAATAATATGAACAAAAACCTTCCTTTTTTGACCAAGCATTTTATCTGGCTTTAAACTCAGGAATCAAGTTAATCGGGCCAGATTTAACTCTCATTTTTATTACCTTTCAGAGATATTTTTGAAAAGTGAATTATATATGACTTCTTCAGAACTGAAATTTTTTACTCCAAGAATTCTATGTACCTGCTACAGATTTCCATTCTGATAGCCTCTGAGCCTTCACATGAAATTTTTTGGTGCCTTATTCCTAGTGTGTTTCTCTCACCTTGTGGAGTCCCCAGATGGAGTCAGAATTTGGAATGACAAATAATCACTGGATCCACCTACTGTTTTTCTTCACCTTTCCCAGATGCTGTGGGTGAGAGGGTGAAGTGTTACGTCAACTGCGTGTCTGACACTTCCTAGAATAACATGCATCACATTTATATTCTTATTTTTAGTCTACTGTAGAAAACAGTGTCACTGCCAAAGGCATCCTAATTAAAGTCACATTTTATAGAATCTGTTTTTTGTACTTAAATCCATTCTTCTGTTATAGGAATTAGGCAGTATTCAGTGCTTCATCTCTGTATCGGAGATCTGCTTTCTTGTAACTCTGCCTGATTTCATGTAGCATTGGTATGGACTTGCATTCCTCTCTTTAGAGGGAATCCTTCTTAAAACCCTTCCTAATTCTAGCTTGGCAATGCAGATGTCTTAACTGTTTTGGTAATAAAAAAAAAAGAATAATGTGCAATTGGTATTTATTGAAGTATTCCTTTTACTTTCTTTTCTCAGAAGATCCCCAAATCAGGAGTCTTATTCACTGACACATTCATTCAACATACACACCCTGAGGCGCTATGACACACAAAGATGAATTTTAGTCTCTGCCCCCAGTTCCTGACACAGATCTCCTAAATCCCTCGGAATGTCCTGGAGATAGAGCTGTCTTGTGTTCTAATGAGGCCAGTCTTGGTGGGCTCCTGGATAACTTCAGAAAGGGGGCTGGTCACCGAAAGACCAAGCCATGATCAGAAGCTTGGAACTTTCAGTCCTACTCCCATACCCTCCAGAGTGGCGGAGCAGGGTGGGATGGAAACTAAGTTAGTCACTGATTTTGACTATGTAATGAAAGTTCCGTAAAAATCCCTACCTTATGAGGTTAAGAAACCTTTCATATTGAAGAACACATCCACATTTGGGGAGAGTGGTACACCCCCAACTCCACAAGGACAAAAGCTTCTGTACTCAGGACTCTTCTGGCTCTCACTCTATGTAACTCTTCATCTGGCTATTCATCTGTATCTTTTATTATATCTTTTACAATAAGTAAGTAAATGTGTTTTCCTGAGTTCTACTGAACCTGAGGAGGGGGTTACAGGAACCCCCAACTTATAACCAGTTGGTCAGAAATACAGGTGACAGCCTTGAATGTCTGAAGTGGGGGACAATCTTGTGGCATTGAGCCCTTAACCTGTGAGGTTTATGCTAACTCCAGGTAATTCATGTCATAACTGAACTGCAAGACACTCAGTTGGTGTCTGGAGAGTTTTGGAGAATTACTTGTGTTGGAAAACCCCATGCACATTTGGTGTCAGAAGTGCTACGAACAGACTACAGGTAAACAGGAGTTTTATTTTAGGCATTTACTAGAGATCAAAGATAGATAAGTTGCTGCTCTCATGGCAATGTGAGGAGATAAATATTAATCAAATAATTCAAATAAATGTAAACGTGCAACTTATGATAAGTATCATGATGAAGAAGATGTTTTGAGAGCCTATAATAGGGGAACTTGACCTATTTGGGGAAATCAGAGGAATCTTCCCTGAGGAAGAAGCCCTTCAGCTGAAATCCAAAGGATAAATTCTAGATGAGTTAGATGAGCTGGGGAGGAAAGAGCAATCTAGACAAAGAAAATAGAATGTGCAAATGTCCTGGGGCTGACAAAAACCACAGATGTTTGCAGAACTTAAAGAAGACTTGTATGCCTGTTCCATAAATAGTATGGGGAAGTAAAGAATGAGGTAAGACTGGATAGGCAGGGGTTGGACTGCATAGGGTCTTGAAGGCCATGGCAAAGAGTTTTGTCCTTCTCTTAAGAAAGACCAATGGAGACTCATTGATAGGTTTTAGGTAGGAGCCTGGTAAGATTATATTTGATTTTTAAAAGATAATTCTGATCATTAAGAGTGCTGGTAGATGTAGTTTTAATTTTCATTTCAGTCTTTCCCTACTCCATGAAACATCTGTCCCAAACATGCAGCAAAACAGACTGAATTTCTATTCTCTCTTCTATTCAACTTCCTCTTGGGCTTGCAGGATCTTAGTTCCTTGACTGGGGATCGAATCAAGGGCCTCTCAAGTCCTAAACATTGGACGGCCGGGGAATTCCCATTGTGCCTTGAATTTT